AAAAAAAATTAAAAAAAAAATTTTGGGGGGGGTTGGGTACTGTGGATTGAACCCAGGGATACTTAACCACCACTGACACGCATCCCCAGGTTTTAGTTTTCGTTTAGAGACAGGGTCTTGCTGAGTTGCTTAGGGCCTTGCTAAGTGGATAAGGCTAACTTGAACTTGTGATCCTCCTGCCTCAGCCTCTTGAGCCATTGGAATTATAGTTGTGTGCCACCATGCCTGGTATTAAACATTGAATATGTTTAATATAATCAACTGAAGAAACATTAAAATTTAGTACTAATGATACTTTAAGATATCTAAAGAGAGCTGAGGTCAATCAATTTCACTGTACTTGGAAGGTTTTTCTTCTCTGGCTCTTAGGAAAGTAGGTCCTTCCTAATGTATTTTTAAGTCATGAATATTATAAGTATTTTGGAAGTGAGCAGATATTTGGATTTGGTGGACAAACTGAGTCTGGAAAAGTATAGAAGGTTAAAAATAGGTTCTCCAAAGATACATCTGGAAACATGGATTACATTGGCAATGATCCCAAATGCAAAATCCCTGACTGTCAATCTTTATTCTTCCTTATTTTATCTTGGTTTCCTCTCTGGCTCCTGACTCCTTACACTAAGATACATTGTGTATCAGAATAAAAAGAATAATTGTATTTCAGAACAGAAAGAGCAATTGACAAAGAAGAAAAATAATTGTAGGAAGCAGAGCTGTTGCCACTTAGGAAAGAGGTTGCTTCTTACTGACCGTGGAGTACAAGCCTCTTCTATCCTTGCCCTGGGAGCCTTCCCTCCTATAATAGCAAACACCGAAGGCTGACAGCACAGCAGACCCGACTGTATGCACTTTTTGTAAGATAAGAATCCGATGGAGCAAATACCATTCCAGTTCCCATTTTGCAATGAGGAATCTGAAACCTTGAGAAATTAGTTATTTGCTCAGGCCACAAAGCTAACAGGGACAGAGGAAATGGGATGGAAAACTGAATATAAACAGTCTGGCTCCAGAGTAGAAATTCCAACCCTCTCGGCTTTTAGAGTTATTTTGCACCCATTCACGGATTTCCTTATCTTCTTTCTCACTTGCAAGTGCTTACAGTGGCACAGAAGCTAAGAAGTCACCCACCTGCTAGTCTAAGGGAAGTCTAAACCAGGACACAGATTTCTCAGCCTGCCCCTTTCCATGAGATTTCAGATTGGCCATTACAGATATGACAGAAGGACGGTGCAGCCTTCCCATTCTTGATTTTCCCACTCATTTCTGATCAGCTCAAATGCTAACATGAAAGCCAAATGGAACATGGAAGCCAAATAGGGAAGTCAAACAAGTAACACTTCTACACTAATCACACGGTCACCCTGGAAGGCCACCATATTCATGGAATCTTTCAATTCTGTGTCAATTCTTTCTCCTGACAGCTTCCTGTCATCTGGATCTTGATCAGACAAAAGTCACTCTTAACTGGAATTCAATACCCTGCAATATCATTATTGTTCTCAGACAACATTGATTCATTTGGGAGTTCAGGATCCAGCTTAATGGGTTCACTTCTGAATGTCTACTCTGTAACAAAAATGAGCCGAGTACTACAAAGTATATCAAAGTGCTACAAAGTACTACAAAGTGTGCATAATTCATTGATTTTTCCCTCATGGTAAAACCCTTAAAACCCTCCTGTGAAATTCTTTTCTTCCATTTCATATTTGGCTAACTATTTCAGATTGAGTACATGAAATTCAGGAAAGACTCTCAGATTTGGGCTCCATAGAGAGAGACCAATGTAAGGGAGGAGTGGCAGGCTTTGAGTCATAAAATAGAAAAGGTAGCTCCACCCAGTGTAGTTACCGCTGTAATTTCAGTGATTTGGGAGGCTGAGGGAGGAAGATCAAAAATTTGAGGCCAGCCTCAACAACCAAGAGAGACTCTGTCTCCAAGTAAAACATTAAAATAAGTATTTAAGTGAGTAAATAAATAAATGGGCTGGAAATGAGGCTCGGTGGTAAAACATTCCTGGGTTCAATACCCTGTACTGCAAAAAGCAACCCAAATTGAAAAGACTTCATTAGAAAACCAGATGTGAAAGAAATATTTCCACTTACTATGCATTTTACATGCCACGAAGCAAAATCAATTTATAAGCACCCCACTGAAAGTCTAGATAAGCTACTAGGAAGTCTTTAGCAAGGAAAGTCAAAGTAATTATGACAATGAAGAAAGCAACATAAGAAATGCTGAAGGAGACATCTATTTCGTGTATGCCTATTTTATCTTAGTGAACAGCTTCAGTGGATTGTAATTTCAGCCCCTCCAAATCTATGGGGGGCTTAAGTTCAACAACCGTTAAGTTCACTAATAATGGAGGTTTTCCAACAAAATAGCTTTAAGCCATTTATAACTAGCAAGAATACAACCATTCAAATTGCTAAGATGAAAAGTGGAACCTAAAAGCTTTCAGAAATAAATATGGCTCCTACGTTAAAACAAAAATTAAAGCTTCCAATTTTTACTAAAGAAATCATAAAAGACACAAAAGCCTTCAAGGAAGCCGATTGGGCAGGCAGGAAGGGAAGAAGAACATGATCCCAATGGGGATAACAGCTTTCCCAGTGTCAAAGTCAAATGCTAAGAGGCTCAGGCTGTACCCTGTAGGAATGAAGTTGGCCAGGGGAGCTCAGTGTCATCTCAGAAGGTCTGTGATTTGATGGTGAGATAGGTACAAACATTTCCTTCTCTCCTACTTTAACAATGGTGTCAAGTGATAATGAAAAGCTGCTCGTGATTGGCTGCAGAATTTGGAA